TAATTCAATGAACTAGCCAAAACATAGACCAGAAAATTCATTCTGTTTCCACCCCAACTCTCTTTCCAGTGATGATAGTTATCTATGATGGGGCCCAGTTTAATCCTCTGGTATCCATGAAGTTTGTACTAACTAGGTCAGAATAATGTTGTGTTTTAGAGTGATTTAAAAGTTGCATTAATGAGAAAAAAGGGGAGAAAACAGGATCGGTGTAATTCTACCCACACATTTTCCCGGTGGGATATCTATGCTATCACCAGGGGGCGATGTTAAAAGTAGATTATATGTGCTTCTAATTGGTTTATTTAAAAGCTGTAGTTAATTAATTCTCAGTCACTTTTCTTTTAATCTGGCTGCTAAAAGTGCCTAACTGTCCTGTTAACTTATATATTTTGGGGAATCTCTTTTTAAGGATTTCATGAGAAAAAGGAAGATAAATCTAGTATGTACTTCTTATAGGACTTTATGACATTAAATAGTATATTAAAAACCTATTTTCATTTGTTATTTCCTTTTCAACCCTCAGTGCTTACAGAACTCCCTGACAGACATGAAAGATGTTGGCATTTTACAAGTGAAGGTTTTAAAGGCAGCAGATCTCTTAGCAGCTGATTTCTCAGGTACAGAACATTTTCATTTTCGAATTCATCTTTATTTATTTCCTGCTTTGAAACAATCCCCTGGAAAGCAAATGTTTAATAAGTAGATGTATGTACATAGCAGTCATGATCCTTCAAATCGAGTCATGGCAAAAAAGAGGCAGACTCGAGCAATTTCTTTCACATAATGTACCTTTTTTACACAGTCATTTATTTTAAATGAGTTTACGCTGATTCGGTAATACTCAAGTCTATTGAGCTTCAGAAATCTTTGTGGATTATAAGTTATGACTTCTTTATTTGGCAAATTAAGATTTTGGCCAAGCTTTTCTATGTGACTTCAAATGACAGTGATTTGACTTCTCGCCTTTCGTCTCTGCTGCTTTCTGTGCTGAATGGTTCGCTTGGATCGTAAATCTGAGCTGGAAGTCAGATCTGGCTGGCACCTCATTGTAACAATGACCAGAGCCTAGGCCCTGGGACCACTTTGCGGTTGACATCATCTTATAGGAAGTTTCTCTTGGTGCTTCTCTAACATGAACTTTTAGAAAGAGGCCAACACAGACATGCTTTGTGCTGAATTATGCTCTGGCACACTTAGAGTAATCCAGACACGCCAGTGTCTGACAGTGGCTCCCCACTCATTGCCAAATTACCCCCTTGTGCTGACTAACAATTTAGCCGCCTCCGTGACAGACGCTATTTGCCAAGTAAATTGATGAATACAAAGAGTATTTTACAGCATGGTTCTATCTATTGATTTGGGATTGCATGGTTTTTAAGAAATACGTATCTCATATTTTTAGAATGTGGGCTACTCTTTCTTCTTCCTTCTAGACAGGAACAATTTCACTATATTTGTACAACTTCTAAATTTCTGAGACTTGAGTTTGAGGAAGCTGAACTGCTGGAAAAGAGAACTTTAATTTTAAGCACGTTACGTTACAGAATGTTTTGGAAATATAAACTTAGTTGAAAAAAGAAATGTTCTCCTCACCCTGCTCAAAAATGAAGCAATAGAAATGACTATTCTATAAGATGATCCTGGCCAGTGAGAAGATCCAAAAATGGTTTTTGGGCCAAATAGAAAATACAATTTTTGAGGCTTGTAGGTGAAGTACTCAGATGATTTACTTTGTTTTTTTGGAGACAGAGTCCTACTCTGTCACCCAGTCTGGAGTGCAGTGGCATGAGCTTGGCTCAGTGCAACCTCTGCCTCCCAGCTTCAAGCTATTCTCCTGCCTCAGCCTCCTGAGTAGCTGGTATACAGACGTGTGCCACCACATGGGGTTAAATTTTGTGTTTTTAGTAGAGACGGGGTTTCACCATGTTGGTCAGGCTGGTCTCGAACTCCTGATCACTTGGGTGATCTGGGATCACTTGAGGCCTTGGACTCCCAAAGTGCTGGGATTACAGGTGTGAGCCACTGCGCCTGGCCTCAGGATTACTCTTAATATTCACTAGTGTTATTGCAAATGTTTATAATCTCATGTTAAGACCTTTTTCTTTCTTTTTTTTTTTTTTTTTGAGATGGAGTTTTACTCTTGTTACCCAGGCTGGAGTGCAATGGTGCAACCTCTGCCTCCTGGGTTCAGGCAATTCTCCTGCCTCAGCCTCCCGAGTAGCTGGGATTACAGGCACGTGCCACCATGCCCAGCTAATTTTTTGTATTTTTAGTAGAGACGGGGTTTCACCATGTTGACCAGGATGGTCTCGATCTCTTGACCTCGTGATCCACCCGCCTCGGCTTCCCAAAGTGCTGGGATTACAGATCTTTTTCTTTTTACTTATATTTTATGAAGACAGTCAACATTGCACATGTGCCTTTGACACTGTTGGCTCTGTCCTCCCTAAAGCACATTTATAATTGCCTACCCGTTTTCCAGAGATAATTATTTTTACTTCCATCTAATCGTTTACGTGCAGCACTTTTTGAATGCACGATTGTTGTTCTCTAGGGAAATGTCTCCAGCTTCAAGAACTTGAAATGCCTTCCAGCATTAAAAAAAATTCTTTCTGCAAGTTGCATGCGTGTGTGTGTGTGTGTGTGTGTATGTGTCTGTATTATCTCCAGCAACTAATTGTAATGCATTAAAAGTATTTTTTGAAAGCTTGTTTACAAAAGCATCCATATGTGGAAACCTCCCCCCCTCCCCCCCTTTTTTTTTTCAAGATGGAGTCTTGCTCTGTCACCCAGGCTGGAGTGCAGTGGTGCCATCTCAGCTCACTGCAACCTCCACCTATTGGCTTCCAGCATTTCTCCTGCCCCAGCCACCCTGGTAGCTGAGATTACAGAAGCCTACCACCCCGCCTGGCTAATGGAAACACTTTTGAAAATTTAATTTGTTTAACCTGTCCTATCAAGTACCTCCATAAACCCCCCAACTCTAGTTTTTGCAAAGACTTTTAGGCCAGTGTATCATCTTCAAAGAGTATTTTGGCTATTAAAGGGAAGAGGAGAGAGGACCTGAAGAAAGAGTCTTTGTAAATATGGAAGAAGAATTTGGGGAGAAATGTTTTTATTTTGTTGTTTTGTATTTAAGGTATTCAGTAGACAGTTTTGGAGTGGATGAAGAGAAGTACCAAGAAACTCCAGTAACAAAAAACAGTAGTTAGAAATGAAATAATGCTGTGTGTGGTTCAGACTGAATGCCCTGGTGTTTTACTATTCTTGCATTTATGAGAAAATTATTGCTATTGTGAACTGAGGAAAAGTGATTTGTCATTAGCTAAACATGTGTTTAGACCGTAATGATCTTTGTTATTAGAACTGAATTTCACAGTCCGTGTTCTTTATACGTTGTCAGGCTCCTGTGTGAATCCCCCACAGGGTTTCAACCGAGGCTCTGCTTTAGGGCTACAAAATGGACAGTTGTAATTTAATTTCTCTATGTTAAAAAAGAAATGGATTCAGATTACGGCGAGGTAACAGTGAATACCTCTAAGAAGTTAGTGATCGTATACTATAGTGGGGATCAGGTATTATTGCTGTTAGCATTATTGCTATCAGTTCAAAGTATGTAGCAAAAAATAGTCCTCAACAGTGTCATTGGATCAGGACCAGAAAAACCACCCATATTTGTCAGTGCCAGGAACATTGAAGAATTGAGTAACTATTTCTACTCTGTACTCTGCATTTTCCGGGTATAGATGAAATGAGTATAAGTATAAACCTTACTTTATAAATGAGCATTCATTTATTGCAATTGCTCAGGAGTAAAGCATTTACCTAGAAATTAAAAAAAAAAGTGCATTTACTCTGGATAACCGGGGACAGTCTCTAAAGAATGATGGTCATTTTTGACACAGTGCAAAATGAAACCTTTCATTCTTTCAGCTTTTCTTTTATCATATGTTTTTATGTTGCGGTAATTGCATGTTTCTAAAAACAACATGAAGTAATCACAATAACTGATGCTTTAATTTAGCTTCACGTAAGGTTCAGGAATCCTGATAAAGCAAAAGTCTGTGGGGATTGGTCTCAGCAGGAGTCCATACAGAGGTCACAGTTACTGTCTGCAGCGCACAGGGACGTTACCCCTTGGGAGGAAGAGTGAATGCATATGGTAAACTCTGTTGTCAGTAGTTTCCTAACTTTAAAGCTATCCATCTCTTTTCAAATAACAATTAGACAAAGAAAATATGTTTCATTCAAGCCACTGGGATCAAATTGGAAGGTTATTCCCTGTGAGTTGTTATTGATGTTATGATTATATAGTCATAACAAGAAGTTAAACTTTGTAAAAATGGAATACTCATTACTAGGTTAGTATTTTGGAACATTAGGATAAAATATATATACTAAGGTAAATTTATTTCTCATAAAATTGTTTTATCTAGAAAGAAAACTAGTGTATACATTTTCAAATATGTTAAAAGATATATAAGTAAGCCTATGTGTACGTGTGTTACCAATGTTATGATATTTACAAATGATAAAGGCTTTACTTCTCTAATGTATAAAAAGGTATATTTAATTTTTTAAATTGTGCTTTTATAAATATGCTATTGTGATTAAAGCTATCTATTAGCTTTATCTATAAATTTAAATGTATAAATATCTTGTCATTTTTTAGAGTTTCTGACATTTGTATACAAGAGAGAATACTTTATTAAAAGGATCTTAAGTATATTCTCTTGGAGCCTATCTCTCTAAAACTGGTGAAAGATATTTTTTCTCAAGTCTGTGCCATCATTAGACATGGATAGCCATAAGCAGTTATTCTAGTAGAAGAGCCTGTCAAATATTTTTTAAGGAATTTGCTTCACAAATACCTTGTGCCCAGCGTAACCTAACATTTTTCAGTAATAGGTGATACAGCCTGATGTCATTACTTTTGTAGTACACCAGGCCACAGCCTTGATTCATGAAACAAATGATAAATTGTACTTGGAGGCTCAAGGTAAATAGCTGTGTGCAGTGTTTGATGAGACCAACATATTTCACTCAGCTACTGCTAGTCTTAAAACTTAGGTACTTTAAGAAGAAAATAACCCACATTCTAATGATGAACTGAGAAAGAGAAACATTTTATTCTGGACAGTGCTGAGAAATGGACAATGTAGCAGGTTTCATAGCTACAGTAGAGACCCAGACAGAAAGTGGTGGTGTAGGCTCCTCAGGGGCACATCTGATCATAAATTAATACTGTTGAAAGAAAATACAAAGTTAATCTCATAAACTGTAAAAAGAGAAGATAGTAAACAATGGGTTAATGGGAAAATTGTTAGAGAATTGAAATGTTTTTCAGTCCAGATTGTAACACCTTTCAGTGGACATGACAACACCTATCTTACCCATTGAGAGAGATCAGCCAATGAAGAGTAGAAAACTGTCTTGGTATGCTCAGCACATGTGTGCAGATTGTTCAGGGTAGGCTTATTATAATTGATAGAATGCTGCTGAAAGCTGCCAGGATTGTAACGTATGGGGGTCCATTCAGCACCCAGAATTGAAACTATCGTGGCCCCCATCAGCGTATGCATATGCCAAGATTCCACACCAAATCAATGATTCTTCCTTAGCATTCTTAGAATCAAAATGTGGTTTCATACAGCTACCTTCCTGTTACTTAAGCTTTCTCTTTATTGGTTTTGTTTTCTAAAATAATTATTGTAAGTTACTTCCTTCCCCATAAAGGATGTTCCAAAGGCAAGAGACCATTCTTCAGTCTCTTTCTGCTTCATACTCATGGCCCTTACCCTGTTCCTCCCAGGATGCCCCCTGCCCATTCAGAATCCTGGCATAATAGGGGAACTAGGAACTTACGGGAGTTTTCTTCAACGCACCAAGCCAAGAGTAGCAACAAAAGCCAAGAATAGCAACAAAGCAATCAGAGCAGCCTTCTACACCTAGCTTGGAGTGGCAGGATATGAAGTGACATAATGGCACAAAACAACATAATGCAGTATAGGCTTCAATATCCTCTCTCTTTATAGCACAATTCTATGGTTTAATCCATTCTCATATTGCTATAAAGAAATTCCTGTGGCTGAATTATTTATAAAAACGAGGTTCAATTGGCCTACGGTTCTGCAGGCTCTGCAGGAAGCATGGCAGCTTCTGCTTCTTGGGAGGCCTCAGGGGGCTTTTACTCCTGGTGGGAGGCAAAGCAGGAGCAGTGGAGCGGGAGTCTTACATGGCAGGAGCATGACCAGTGGGATGAGGGATGCTGCACACTTTTAAATAAACAGATCCACCAAGGGGTGGCGCTAAACCATTCAGGAAGGATCCTCCTTCATGATTTAATCACCTGCTGGGCCTTACCTCCAACATTAGGGATTACACCTGAACATGGGATTTAGGTAGGAACATAGATCAAAACCTTATCACTCATCTTCAATTTTTATGTTTCAATTATTCTAATAATCTATGTGTGATGATGAGAAGCTAGGGAATTATCAGGAGACAATGGAATAACAAAACTGGAAATAGCATCTTGACTCACAATTTGGAGTTGCTTGCCTTCTGTAGTCTCATGGGGATTTTTATTTCACCTTTGAGACCTTTTTGGCACTCTTTGCCGTAAAAACAACCGGCGAACAAAAGAAACAGCCACCAATCGTGAAAAGTATCCAAATATATATGGATCCTCTTGATATCTTGATAATAAGGGTGTCACTTGGACCCTTTTCTGTTTCCATTTTTAATAAATGAAATAACTCCCAAATTAGCATACTCTCAAAGTGTCTATCATAGAAAAACATGTTTCCATGCAAGAAATCCAGGGTATTATAAAGTATCCTTATTTAATAAGCATGTTAGGGACTGTAACAATTGCCTGATCCAGGAGAATAAAGATGCATTTAATTCCAGAACCTTCTGTTTCTTTCCAGGAAACCCGAAATAGCTTCCTTTACCACTTTTTAAATATTTCTCAACTTCAGGAAAGTCAGCTTGGGGATGGTGCTAGTAACTGACAACAGATATTCATTGAGCACCGCACTTGGTGAACAGAGTCACCCTTAGGGAGTTTGTGATCCCTAAGAGAAGGCTCAATCCTCACTCTACCCTCTCTCCTCTACTGCAGGACATTAGGTGTAGGGGGTGGTGTGTACCTTTCAGATAGATGGAGTCCTTCTTCAAAATCAGGGGGTGGCAGTTCCAGTTCACTGTTTCCTTGGCTATGCCATTAGGAGGAGCTCTTGGTCTGTCCCACACACAGATTTGAGCTGTAACTGCAATAAAGTATTCCATTCCTTGGGTACGTGCATGAGCCTTTTCCATGGGTCCTGGACTCAGCCTTAATTAAATGAATGTCCAGTTCAATAGTTTCTTCATTGAAGATAAAAACTAGTGACTATATTTTTGCCTTTTGTTTTTATGGTAGCTGCCTCTCATTTTAATCTCTGTGTATGGAAGATGCACAGAGGCAGACACTCGTGTGTTATTCTCAGTTATCCCACACACTGGCCTTAGGCTGGCTCTAAGCCTCCATATCCTCATGGGTATTTTAAGGGTTACATCAAATTCTAAATGAACATGTTTGATATATATTTTGTGCTTAATTAATGTTTTTCTCATTCTTTATGAAATGCATTGCATTATAGTATATTTGTTACATGAACAATTGTATAGGTTATTGTTTATAATTTCCCTAATTTTAGATTATGTCAGGCATATAAACTGATAACCACTTTCATCTCTTCAGCTACTTTTAGAAATCTAGTTACCACTCTAAGATGTTTCTTTTTGCTTCTATTTCTATTGCCTGCTTAAAATGAAGACAAAAAATATGCTTCATGGAAGAGAAATTCTCATACTGAACTACTTTAGTGCTTGAATTCCACACTTTGATAATCTGAATGATAGTTTTATCAGTATACAGTAGCTTAGTGTGTTCATCTTTTTTGTTGTTATACAAAAAGGTGCTATTGTTAAACTCTTGAACAAAATAGGGCACTCAGACCCCACATTAGAGTAAAAGTGTTTCTGCCATGTACTATATACTGAGTTTAGAGTTGTTTCTATAAATTATAATAGTGACTACAAGTTTTTTATATTGCTGTTTTTGTTTTGAAACATAAGGCTGCTTGTGTCAGAAGAGGAATAGTCTCACAGTTACTGTTCACTGAGTTTTAAGCCACATGCCCATATTATGGTTTCATTTAATTGTCTGTCTCTCGAAGCTGTATCCATAGCGATACTTCGTCTCTTAAAGATGCCCTGTTTCCAAAGGGATGACTATAATTGCAATTTCTAGGAAGCTCGGTAGTCGTGATTGAATGTTTTTAATTTGCATGAGATCCTCGTGGATAGCTAAGCCCAAATCAAGACCAACTTTTGAAAAACACATTAAAAACGACATAAATCTGTCTCTGGCAGGCTGTCTGCTTCGTCTGCCTGCCAGAGGACAGGGACTGTAGTCAATGCAAAGTTTGGGAATATATAGAAGACTCCGTGGTTTATAACTTAATGGTACCATGAGGGTGAATGAATTCAGTTCATTTGTGGCTTTCCGAGAATTAAGAGAAGGGATCACTTCCATGTTAATGAATGGGCTCTTACTAACATTTTAATTTATTTAGCAAATATATGTCTCCTATGTGATACCTTATGATTTTCCCTGGTGACATAGTGGAAAAGAGGAATTGGTTCCTGATGTCATATGAAGTGACTGATGTAACCAGTGGCTGCCTGATTTCAATTATACTACTAAGGTCAAGAACATGGTGTTAATTCTTGTGGAAGGGACATCAACCTTGCTAAAGAGTTGGTGAATAGTGGGTAGATCAAGATGGATTATAAAAGGTTGTGGAGATTCTGCAGGAAGTGATCTTCTAGCAGAGATGTCAAATAGAGACATGTGGAATAGGTGGCACAGCAGAGATGAAGGAAAGGACATTTTAAAAATGAGGAAATGGCAGTGTCTTAGGGCCTGCCCAGCTTTTTCAGAGGCCTGGAAGAAAGCAAGTGAGACTGGAAGACAGACAGAAAAAGGGATCTCTCAGGGGAGGGGATTCTCATGTCTTAGGTGGAACTGGATTACAAAGGAACTTAGGAGCCAGGTGAAGAAATTTGGGAAACTATTAAAGGAATGATCTGATCCGATAGCAACTTAAAAAAGTTGATATTGGCAGCTGTGAGGAGCAGGGATTTTGAGGGGAGAATGAAAATGGGAAGATGCTAGACAAGATCAGTGAATGATGATGATGTTGAGGGGTTTGAGAAGTAGCAGGGGAGTGCAGTTAGAAGAAAACATTTAGGGCCAGGTGCAGTGACTCTCACCTGTGATTTCAACACTTTGAGAGGACTAGGAGGGAGGATTGTTTGAGCCAGAGGTTCCAGACAAGGCTGGTCAACATGATGAAACCTGGTGTCTACCAAAAAAAAAAAAAAAAATCAATGAATCAGGTATAGTGGTATGTTCTTGTAGCCCTTGTTAGTCATAGAGGCTGAGGCAGGAGGATTGCTTGAGCCCAGGAATTCGAGTTCACAGTACTGTGAGCTGTGATTGCACCATTGCACTCCAACCTGGGTAACAGCGAGACCTTGTCTGTATTTAAAAAGTAATAATAAAAAAGGAAGCATTCTCATGTCACTTATCTTGTTTGCTCTAGGTCTTAGAATATAGGATTATCAGAGATTTAGATAAATAAGATTCAACAAAGTGAAGTTCTGTTCTTCCTTCGCTGTTCTAGTACTCCTAGTCTGGATCTGTCTGCCCCTTTTTCTAGACATCTGTCGCAGCAAAGTGAGCAGGTCTTCACCTGTGTAATGCTGAAGAAGCCATTATTTGTCCTAGAGAAGGCCAGGACCCATCTGGGAAAGGCCGGACATAGGTGAAAAGTTAGGCCTAGAAGAACAGAGATCAACATTTTATCTTCTTATAAAAGCCCTCTTTGCTCCTAGCGTGGTGCTCTGCATATTCTGAGGATCATAGAGTAGTAGCTGAATATATGAACAGCTACATCATAAAGGAGGCATTATAATATCCACACTCATTATCATAGGAGTCTGGGGTCTCCCTGGAGGTTGCAGAGAAAATTTGACAAAGAAGACAAGGTTAAACTAGGCCTGAGAAGTTAGTTGGGTTTTGTTGTTGTTTGTTTGTTTTCCTCTTTTGGAGAGCAAGGAGTTTGGGAGGGCATAGAGGGACAAGCTGTTACCCATGGAAAGTAGGAAGCAGAAAAGAGCCTTGTTGTTCTATGCGCAGGACAGGACAGGGCAGCCTGGTGAGGTTAGGAGTGGAGCAAAGAGACCCCAACCTTGCTGAAGAGTTGGTGAACAGTAGGGAGATCAGGATGGGTTATGTGGGGTAGACTGATAGAAAATAGAGATTTCCAGAATTGATCAATGAAAATGTGCTCCAGTAGCTGATAGTAAGGTTTGTAAACAAATGGATTGGAAATAAGACATGAAAATCGAGTTTTAAAAATTTTCATCTGGAATGGCTCTGCTGTTCCCCCACTTCCCCAAGCCTCTCTGAGCTAAAATGCTCCACACTTAGTTTCAGGAATTGTGTTGGTGCAGAAATGCTTTCTTCCAACTCTACCCCTTGTATGGACAGTCTAGCATGGTTCCTGGTTGCTGGGTGACTAGAATGAAATGAAAAGTACTGGTCATGGTCTTTAAGCCGATCTTTGTACCTATTCACGTGTATCTTACGTTACCTGATTATGGCTGTTTACCCCTCTCTCTGTCATATGTATCTCTGATAGTAAGGTTTGTAAACAAATTGCTGGAATAAGATGTGAAAATGACGTTAGAAGAAATACCTAATGTAGATGACGGAGTGTTGGATGCAGCAGACTACCATGGCACGTGGATACCTGTGTAATAAACCTGCATGTTCTGCGTAATGTACCCCAGAACTTAAAGGAACATATATATAAATATATATATCTTCCTAATATATTTGATGCTTTGGACCTGTCCCATCCCCACAAGAAGAACTTATCCATTTCTGCTCTTCAAACACTCCCCTTGTAAACCTCGATTAAGAGTCTCCTCCACTAAGAAATTTTTCTGAACTTTTCTGAACTGAATTACATTTCTCTGAACTTTGATGTTCTCATCTGCGTTTCACTGCAGCCCTCTGTCCTGGGCCATGGCACTCTTCTTAGCGGATGGTAAGGGCATATCTATATTGGGTGTGCCAGCATGAGGACCCTTAAGTGAATCTTCACGCTGACTGCGGAGGGGAAATTTACAAATACGGGATATAAGAGAAGTGAGGGCAAGACGCAGTTGGAGATTAGAAATGGAAACAACTCAGATTGCTGTGGGATGAGAATGAGGAAAGTTTTCTTGGAAAGGGCAGCATTTTCAGAATAGCAGAGGCCATTATAAGAGTCCCTTGTAGGTAATAACTTAGGTGGTCATTGTATGTCAGGGTCAGTTAGTGCTAGGAAACATTTATTAAGCTATATGCTTAATAAATGGGCATCAAATGCCAGGCGCACTGGCTCATGCCTGTAATCATAGTACTTTGGGAGGCCGAGTTGGGTAGATCACCTGAGTTCAGGAGTTTGAGACCTGTGCCTGGCCAACACAGTGAAACCCTGTCTCCACTAAAAATACAAAAATTAGCAGGGCATGGTGGTGTGTGCCTGTAATCTCAGCTACCTGGGAGGCTGAAGCAGGAGAATCTCTGGAACCTGGGAGGCAGAGGCTGCAGTGAACCAAAATTGCACCACTGTGCCCCAGCCTGGGCAACACAGCAAGACTCCATCTGAAAAATAAAAATTATCAAATGAATGATGTGACTCTCATAATACATTTATTATTTGTCAGTCAGCTTCTGTAGTTGATATACAGGTAAAACTGTTTAACCTCCCTTACTTACCATTCAAGAAATACAAATAAATTTTAAAGCATTGTTCAAAATAGCAAAGGCTACTGAGTACAAAATGCTAGACCCCAATGTGAAAATGAATTGTCAGTGGCATAAATGTGCCAAAATGATGTGGCCTCTGGACACAGAGGGGGTCGTCTAGATGTTTTACCTGTGAAATGGGTGGAACAAAGAGGAGAGGCGCAGCCTCAAATGTGTGTATGTCAGTCTACCTTGTGCTTTTCTGTTGTACCATTGCTGAGAATTTGGACATTTCATTTATTTTGAGAGATCATTGTTATCTCAAATGAGAATATTTGTTATTTAAATTTTACTCAGAGTCCCCATCTATCTGAAACTTTTTAAGAGAAATCAACCCATAAAGTGTGCGTACTCTATAAACATTTTAATGTCTTTGTTTCTTCTTGCTTCTCTCTGTTTATTCTGTGATATTAATAAATGCAGCATTTTAATGAGCTTTGACTGAATTATCTTCAGAGAGTTGGTGCACTGTGCTCCTTGGAGACACATAACTGAAGTTCCTGGTTTCTGCAGGAAAGTCTGTTCCTCATTAGCTGGGACAGCTAAGAGCGGGCTTGCTTGAGAGAGCAGCAGCCACAGGACGGGCCCACCTGTGCCTCAACAGGACCAGGCAGCAACTCTTCCGTGCTGTGGAGTAACCCCAGGGCTTTCATTAAAAGTGTCAGACAGTTTCCCTGGAGCAACTGCTGATGGCATGTCATGCTGGTGTCTCTGGAGGAGCAGCGCTGACACCTACTAATAGTCTGACAAGTGGTTAAGTAGCTGTTTCAGCCTGGGTTGAGAAATCAAGCATGGTATACCTGGGCATAAGCCAAAAGTACGTGGTCTCCTCTTCTTCACAGTGGCTGAAGAGGAAATGGGTTGTTCTTTGTTGGTAGGCTCTTTCCCAGCTAACTTCAGCCTCTTCCCCTGCAAATCACATGACCAGAGTAACTTGTCTTTACATACACCAGATATTTTCTGGGTGCAGATGGAGTTTTATGTTTGATTTTTACTCCCCTTCTGTGTTTGAGGCATTTCCCATTGTATATTTTGGAGAAGAGGTCAGAGCCAACTTTCATTCACAGAAGCTACGAAGTCAGTATTCCCTTTGTGATTTCTGGCACTTCAGGCCTGGGTACTTGGCTTTGTAACACATGATCCAGAGTTCCTTGCATTGGCATCATATGAGGCAAAGAAGCAGGAGCAGAGAATTCATATTGGAAGCGAATTGTGGGGCCACTATTCTGGGGAAGCAGAGGCCACAACAGACTTCCTGGTGTGAAATATGGGCTGAGTTTCTTGTGCTTAAGTATTCTTTGGTTTATAGTGATTGTTTTTTCAGCCTGATTCTCCAGCCTTTGTAGGAATTCAGAAGGCGGTTTGATAACTATTTTAGTAAATTTCCTTTCTGTTAAATGTAGATGGGTCCATTTCCATTATTTGCAACTGAAAACCCTAACTCGTTTATTTATTTCTGTGGCTTGAACATTGCCTACTAGTAACTGAAATAGTAGCATTGACTTAAAAGCTTTGGCCAGGCATCTACGTGTCCAGGCCACTAGTCAGTTGAGTGGAATCTCCTGATGTTTAATACTGATCTTCACCCATGTGTCTGTTCTTCTTCTCCTTCCTTTTAACGGAAACAGAAATCTTCATGTAGGCTTCTGCACATATCAGCATCTCTATTGATGTGCTGTACCTCAGAGCTCCTGGTTATTAAGTGAATTAGATGGAAGTTCAGTGACCTGAATGGTAGGCCAGCAGGTCAAGAGGCCTGAGCGCTCTCTGGCTTAGGCCCTGGCCTGGGACTCCTTGGTCATTTGTTGGGACAGCATCTGTCCTTATGCCCCCAATTAATTTAGCAAGCACTGCTTTGTAAAGTGCCAGTGTGCAGCAGAGACAGGCAATGCATTAATGTCCTACGGACATTATAGAGCCGTTCATTCTTTTCCTGACAGTTCTAATTCCAGATCCCTCCGCCAAACCCAACAAAAGGGAAGTGAGTTTTTTTGCTTGGTAACACTCTAGGTCTAACTTTGGATTTGGAATTTTCTTACCTTTTTTGGTGTGCAAATATGGGAGATAGGGTGGAAAGTGAAGAGGCAAGAAGTAAAAGATGAGCTTAATTTTTCTGGTAAGTTAAAAACTCTGACCTTTATTGAGTTACGCATGTTTGTTTGTTTTATGACACCAAAAATGTAGCTCATGTATTTTCATAGTGCACTGAATGTTCAGGATCAAGAGTGTTTTTGGTCATTTGTGTAGAGCAGAGCTTAACTCCTAAAGAGCCATTTTTACACTTTTTCTCACTTCCTCTTATAGCCATGTGGAAGCCTGTAAGTTACAGGTTTCCAGTTATAGAATAGTAATTATACAGATTGACTTAAAGAGAATTTAGGAAGGAAACAGAGATGAGCTCCATTTTAAAAACAAAGAAATGGACACTCACGTCAAATGGATTCCCACTCCTGTGAGATGTGTGTGGCTACTGGCTTTCAAGGTTTGATCTTGGGTGGTGTATTAGTCCATTTTCGTGCTGCTGATAAGGCATACCCAAAACTGGGTAATTTATAAAGAAAAAGAGGTTTAATGGACTTAACAGTTCCACATGGCTGGGGAGGCTTCACAATCATGGCAGAAGGTGAAAAGCATGTCTTAACATGACATCAGGCAAAAGGGAATGAGAACCAAGTGAAAGAAAAACCCCTTATAAAACTATCAGATCTCACGAGACTTTTCACTACTTCGAGAACAGTATGGGGGAAACCGCCCTCATGATTCAATTATCTCCTACCTTGTCCCTCTCACAACCCATGGGAATTATGGGAGCCACAATTCAATGTGAGATTTGGTTGGGGACACAGCCAGACCATGTCAGGTGGTGTGTGTGTTCTAACCTGCTTACTATGCTAAAGGCACAACACTCGTAACCTCTGCCTGTCTCCTGGATTCCCACACAGGGCCTCCACAGAACTTGTTGGAAAAGGAGTCTTGCCTTCTCTCTTTCAGGAAGCACAACTTTATCTGACTTTTGTTCACATTGCCTCTGTCCCTTTTGAGATTCTCT